ATCAGTACATTTATCTATGCCAAAGTTCAAATGAGAGTCATGTGTGTGTATTAGGTAGATTGACAGCCTTTCTCCCTCAATAAACATCTATTGAGCATTTATTATGTACTGAGAAGGAGTGTCTCTCAGCTCTATAAACAAGACCAGGCAGAGTGTCTCAATAAACAAGACCAGTCCAGAGCAGCTGAGTGTCTCTCAGCTCCTTCAGGCAAGGTGTCATAACTGTCTCATTCTTTGCTGAGAAACATGACAGACATTCAATGGATATCATTTGAAAGATGATGGCAGACAGACTTAGGAGACAGATGTACAAAAACGCACATACAAAAAGGTAACTTAATATTGTAAATTCTTGAGAAATATAAAGTTATTGTGGGATCTGGGAAGAAATTAACTCCAGTTGAGAACCTGGGAAAAGCTCATAGAAGAAGAGATATCTTGGAAGTGGGATGTAAATAATGTGTGGAGCCCTGGCTGGTGTGATTTGAGCACCAGCCTGTGAACCAAAGGGTTGCCAGTTCAATTCCCAGTCAGGGCACATACCTGAGTTGTGGGACAGGTCCCCAGTAGGGGGCGCGTGAGAGGCAACCACACATTGATGTTTCTCTCCCTCTCTTTCTCCCTCCCTTTCCCTCTCTCTAAAAATAAATAATTAAAATATTTTGAGTAAGTAAGTAAATAAATAAAATGTAGAAATTTGACAACTTGAGAGCAAGAGAATTTCATTGTTATATACTGTGAGGGGAAATTTAAGATGCCTGTAGAAACAAGGAACCTAACATCAGTGAGAGAGGCAGACTGGGTAGGAACAGTGAGGAACCTGTGAACACAAATCCCACCTAAATGGGAGCAGCTACTCAGCTCATGGTAATTATTGCTACATTGCATCGGGGAAGTCCAGGTGGCCAGACTGACCAAGTTTCCAAGGGAAGCCAGAAATCTGAACTGTCCTGTAAAAGCTGTATGTTTCACTATTGGCAACTGATTAATATTAAGAAGTTTCTACTGGCCTTGTGTTTGTGATTTGTGCTTTTATTGTGGTACCTTGGTTAAAATTCTCCCTGTTTAGGAGATAATACCTTCTTTTCCTTCAGGATCAATCACTATTTATTAAAATAACACAAATTTCTCTAATATGGTTCTGTATATTACTCATTAATATATAAATCACACTTTAAAAGGAAAGAGCATCCGTTTGGAATCCTTTATTTCGGACAATCCTATGAGATAAAAATTATCTGTTAACGTTTTGCATTGTTGCCCTCTAAGAAAGATTAACCACATATTCTAAGCATGGATTGGCTTTTTTAATAACCTTGTTTTAAAACTTCTAAGAACTTATATTGGCTTGCCTTTTAGAAGGTTTTTAACAATACATTGTACATGAGAGAGGTAGTATGAAGACTGTATTATAAACAAGAAAGACTTTCTTAAGTATGACAAATAACATTAAAATCTTTTAACCTTGTCTTTGTGCACAAAGGCACCTCTAAGGGTGTCTCCAGGAAGTGCTATATTAACACAGAAGTTTAGTTAATTACAGCCACTATTCTCACATACCTTAACTGAGTGTGAATACCAAGCAATCTAATAGTGTGCCCCTGAGCATTAATACCTAATGAAATTGGATTCCTTGTTCCTTCTAATGAGCTCATTGCTTTTCTAAATATGGTCATTGCAGGTAAATGATCAATAGCCTTGAAAATGATACCACTACTGGGTTATTTTGACAAGAAAGAAATAATCTTTACATAAAATAAGTATTTTCACATATATATCTCAGGTGACTTTCTAAATAACCTTATGTATAACAAGAATAGCCATTGTGGATTTGTTGGTTTGTTTTAGTGGCTGAGTTAGAAGGAAACTGTAGACAGTCTCTCTTTGAATATAGAGAAGAAACTTCAAATGCACATAACCTAGGTCAAATTGGAAGAAACTGAATCCAGTGTGTTTCTGTTAACTGAGAGACTGATGGGCAGTAGGCTCTGAGAAGGCCTGTTATGGTGTGTATAGCAGTTACAGCATATTACTGCTATACTATAACAGTTTAGTACAAATAATCTCCACTGTATTTGTTTCCTAGGTCCATCATAACAAATTACCACAGATTTGGTTGCTTAATGTCAATTTAGAATTCTCACACCTTTCTACTGTTTTTATAAAAGTTTATTTGAATCAAACTGATGACAAATTCTGGGAAGCAATATCTTAAATGTTCCAAAAAATGACAGTTTGTAGTTTCTTTTGTACATCTGGAATTAAGAAGAGAACATAAAGAAGATTACTGGAGGTGGGAGCAAGCAAGTCAGATTACAAGATTATGTGCTCTCTTGACCATGGTTATACCTCTACAAAAACAATGGACAGAATTTGCTTAAAGCAAAGATAAACCTTTTATTAAAGTGACATGCCCTGGGGTGTATGACTACCAACCACAACCTGTCCAGTTAAGAATTTAGGATCAGCTCATCCTACTTTCAGTCACTGGTCTTGTTAGATTTACTATAAACTGCCCCCCACCCCTCTTTATGTCCACAATTCTTTCACACAGGAGAAATTTATTATCTCACAGTTCTGGAGGCCGGAAGTTTGAAATCTAGCAGTTAACAGCACTGCACTGTCCAGAGGCCCTAGGGGAAAATCTGTTCCTTACCTCTTCCAGCTTCTGATGGCCATAGGCATTCCTTGACCTATGACCGCAATACTTAAATCCCTGCCTCCGTGGTCACTTTGCCTCCTTCTCTTCTGTCAGCGTCTCTGCTTGGCCTCTGGTAAGAACATGCCCTAGTTTTAGGGCCCACCCTGGTATTCTAAGAGGATCTTTTTATTTTAAGATCTCTAACTTAATTATGTATGCAAATCTTTTCTTCCAAATAAGGTCACCTTCACAGGTTCTGGGGATTAGGGTTCCTGCACAAATCAGTTTGGGGACCAACAGTCATCCCATTACATCTGCTTTTCTTGCCTCGGTTAGTAAAGCCAAACACAGTCACTACTCATGTTATTATGATGTTTAATAACTTATCAATATTATCATTTACTGAGTAATAACTTAGATTTGTGTGTTTGCATTTTCATCCTTATAACCATTCTAGCATTATCTCTTTGATGCAGATCAGGAAATAGAGGCTCAAAAAAGGTAACACCTTGCCGAAGGATCCACACAGCTAATAAGAGTGTCAGTTTATATTTAATGTGTATGTTTTCAACGATAGCTTACATTTATTCATATATAACTTTACATGTTCACATTCTGTCTCAGAAATCGATGTGTTAAATTTTATTCATTAAATTTTTAGTCTCTGTGACTCCTCAGCTTCCTGAGGTAATACTCGATAAATTTCAGGACATTGCTTTCAGATTTAACCTTAGGAAGAGCAAGCCACAGTGAGTTTTTAATAGAATAAGGACCATAGGATGAGAATGAATTTAAGGCTTACTGTTGTACCCAAAGCTATCCTTTAATTTTCATTTCTAAAGTAGTTTAACCCATAATAGATTTGGAATTAAAAAAAAGTGGATGTTAAGTTATATTGCAGTGCTTAAAGCCATACGTACAGAGAGTGTGGTGTTTGAGTCCTGTCTTCTCCATTTATTAATAATGCTTTCATGGAGCTAATCACTTAACTCTCCTGTGCCTTATTTTTCTTGTTTCTAAAGTAGAAAATCATAATAATACCTCACAGGGTCTCTTAAGGAGTAAATTAAATAATAATAATGCTTAAACAGTAACAACTTCATAGTATAAAATCAATATATAAATATTAATTATTATGAATTATTCTACATAGAGAGTGATAATATAAGCACTACATTCAGAATCGTGATGGAGTAGCCAGTGGTAGAATTCAGTAGAGTTCTATTTGGCACCCAGCACAGCTTCTAAGCAGAACATGGGCAGAGGGGGTCACAGCATAGTATACATATCACCCAGTGGGGTTTTCTTTAGCAAATCAAAGTGTTTTATGATCCTTCCTTTCTTCTTCATACCACTTAATCCCCAGGCCTTTGCATTTCTTTCCGGACCCTGACTCTGCTCTGTTATTTATTCTTTCTTTAAGGAAGAATGTTAAATCTTCCTATTAAATCTTTCTAATCTTCTTGTTAAATCTTACCTATTTTCAGATTTCCAAGGTAATGTGAACCCATAACTGAGTCAGAAGAAACAATCATATTATCTCTGTCTCATATGCATGAGTTCTGTCAAGAATACTGGAAACTATATTCTGTTGGCGTGTTTGCAATTCTAAGAAATCTATTGTGATACACAATTTAGAGATAAAGGGTGGGAAGGCTCAGGGAACTGGTCGCATTTCTAAGTAAAGTGGTTCACAGCTGTCAGAGTGTATGAAATTAATGCTCAGTTTGTTTACATCCATATCATAGCTTAAGCATTTGTAGTCCGTTGGTGGAGCAGGGAGAAAGTCATGAAGTCTTTATATTTCACTTATTTGTGTTTTCACATATAGCTTTCTGTGGCAATTATTTTAAATTTATGAACCTCATATATAATCACACTTTTCTTTATGGAACCCAGTGTTTGTGATGAACATGAATTAAATATATTACTAATAGACTCAAGATGTCAACAGTTATTATCTACTGTTCTATTGATTTGGGGAGGGTAATTTGAGTAGATGTCAGCACAGGAAAGTGAAATTAATTGCCTCCATGTTCAACTATGACTGAATGATTGAGTCAGCTGTATGCATTTTCATATATTTAATTTTGATTTTTATCCATCTTAACCACAACTTATCCCTCCTACTCCCGTTCAAGAAGTGAATTCATTTCTCAGTAGGGGAAGTTTTTAACTGTCAATGCTTTAGGGAGAATACTCTAAAATACATTGTGTTTGCTGTAAATAAAATTCTGATCTTGCTCGTGACCACTGTATTTTGCTATCAAACTCACAACAGCCAAGTTCTCCCTTTGATCAGGGGAATCGAAGTGTGTCTGCATGAATTGTTTCACACGGTGTCTTCTTCAACATCCAGGTGAGCACAAAATGTCGAGGCCTCTGGTGGGAGTGTGTCACAAATGCTTTTGATGGAATTCGCACCTGTGATGAGTACGATTCTATATATGCAGAACATCCATGTACGTATACCTTAGACATTCCACTCATAGGGATGGACTATCAAAGATAATTGAACTCAGATTTCCATTGTGTAGTTTTGTTTTCTACAGTACTGCATTAAGATTCTGCCCAGTTTTAAATGTTTTAAATAAAAATTTGGTGTATTTCTGAAATAGAAGTTGAAACTTTTTAGCTTACTTTTTCTTTGCCTGTGTATTTGTAAATTCTTTAGAGTAAAAAATATTATCTTTTTTTTTAAGATTTTATTTATTTATCTTTAGAGGGGAAGGGAAGGAGAGAGGGAGAGAAACATCAATGTGTGGTTGCCTTTCGTGTGTCCCCTGCTGGGAACTGGCCTGCAGGAAACCTGCCTGCAACCCTGGCATGTGCCCTGACTGGGAATCGAACCGCGATTGTCTGGTTCGCAGGCCCGTGCTCAATCCACTGAGCTACACCAGCCAGGGCTTTATCTTATTTATCACTGCTTTTCCCCGAAGGACCTCTCGTAGTGCCTCATACACAATAGGCTTATAGTAAACACTTTTAAAAATTGAAACAAATTCTTCAGGATGCTGTGATATTATGATTAGATGTGACAAGTTAAATAAAAAGCATTTCAGAGATGACTTTTAGCTCTAACTTTGTTCAAATAGGGAGTTTACAGTATTTCAGTGGAAGGATTGCCCAGAGAGAGAGAGAGATGAAAGCAAATTAGTTTGGATTTCTTTCAAAGTAATTGACAGGTGATGGTAACACATGACAACTTTTCTCAAGGTAAATGAAAAGTGAACCCTGGATTGTGACTTTTCCCTGGAAAGCTATTTCATCCAGGGAAAAGAATCTACAAAGAGCAGTGCTCTAATATATCCTCCCTTGCCATTTAGGATTTGAATGTCTGAAACATCTTTAACATAATTTGTAAGGTTCATAGACCTTTATTTCATTTTTAAAAGTCCTCTTAATTCTTTCTCTTTTTCCTTCCTGTGCTAACTTAGTTCTACCTACAGAGTGGGTAGGTAGAACTCATGATTTTGTCAATAGAAAGAGAAATTCATGCAGACATGGGCTATTCCAGAAATACAGTGGTATGGTTACATCTGAGGGGGAAAAAAAGATGAAATCTTTCAACCTTTTAAACACTTATGCAAGAAGAAAATAAAATCACTCATAAGCATAATGCACAAGAGAAAAATCATTGTTTATACTTTAATATTCCTTTTTTATCTTTTCTTTGACTATTTCACATTTTTCTTATGATAGTCTTACTTATTAGTTGCAAATAATATATAAAAGTTACATTAATTTTCTTTAAAAGTTCTATCATATACTTAAAGACAACCTAGATAAAAATGTGTTCTAAGGAAATATTATAACTATACCCTCTAAGTTAGGGTGTTACTTACAAGAGGGTAGGATTTTATTTTTAGTCTTTGATATATTTACACAACCACAGTTAACCTTAGATAACCTTTTCCATTGCTATGTATACCTAAAATATGCAGACTTAGATAAATACTTTTTTATGGCTCCTGTTGAAATAGTTAATTTGAATTCACTCTCTATCCCCTGCAAATTAGAATATAATTTAACATCATTTTGGCAGCCAAATTTCACACAATCATCAAAAAAATTCCTGGTTAAACAGCATTAGCAACCTGTTCACAGTGCTGCTTTCTTGGAAGTGTCCTAGCCATAGGGCCAGCACATGACATCATAAGCCTGAATCCTGAAGTTCCACAGAGCATTTGAATAATGTTCTGTGTAGGTTGAAGGTCAAAGAAAGGAAGACAAGGACCCACAATGATTTCAGGACGCTGTGTCCACGTGTTGCTTCTGTTACTGAGTAGTCACAGGTTCCAAAAAGAGACAGAAAATTTCAAGGGAGGTGGTCCACACGGTGGGACATCTTGGTTTGGGGTGCTGAGTAGGAGTCCCATTTGCATTTATCACTGATGGTCAAAGGATCTGTTCAAATTTAAAACCTGCTATTACCTAATGAGTTACATGTTATTTCCCTTCTTCTGTTTTGAGAAAAGTCAGCCTGAGATTTGATCTAAATTTGAAATTTTAACTCAATTTTTATATAATGCCAAATTTTGATATATTAAAATTTTATTCTAGAAATGAATAAAAATACCTATCCATTAATAATCCCATAGTATAATCACCTATTATTAAGGTAGAAGCAGGTCTGATGCATTGATTTTTTTCTTACATGGATCATATAAATATTTTTTTATTTCAAATTAAAAAAAAATGGTCACACTTTTGCAAGCAACCTATTACTAAATAGGCCCTACAGTTACCTCATCACTGGGGAAAAAGTATTTACAATGCAAGGAAAATATCAATCACTATGAATATAAAACATAATTATTGTACCATTAAAGGAATACATTTTATTACTCCTTAGTTCTGATTTGGGTAATTAACCCTCCACTTGTAACAAAATTTTCCTATTGTTAATTTAGCATAACTGTGACTCAGTTCAGGAGCCTTTTCCAGTTGAAGATGCTTCCATTGCAGAAGGTGATCACTACTATTCTACCTCTATTTATCTTATCTTCTCTTCCCTGGGTCTTCCACCATCTATTCTCACAGCCTGTAGCTTTAAAATACTCTCAGTTGACAATGCAGTGTAAAAGGGTTAATATAAAGTCTTGGCCAGGAAGGGTCATGACTTGAAGGAATGAAAGAGAATATGATCTGTTTCCCAAAAGTAGTCTTCTACTTAAGGACAGAAGCTCCTTCTCCTTGACAGTTTTCCCACCAGCCTAAATTGGCAAGAGACATCTTAAAGTATATCTTACTCCCCCACATGAAATTAAAAAAATATTTTTACAATAAAACTTTAAACAAATATAGTGATTTTTCTTTATTGAATATTTATTGACTAACTTCTATAGATCAAATATTCTACTTTCAACTGTGATCAGTTATATTTGTGAATAGGACTGATTCCAAAACAAGAAGCAAATAAGAAACATTTATTTAGTCCTCACTATATGCCAGGCATTTTGCTCAGAGGCCAACAAGACTAAGTAGTAATCAGCACTTAAATGAAAAATAACACCAATAGCCTCCTGATATTTTTGCATTTTAATAAAAATTTAAGGGTACTCATTTCCAAATTCATGTAAATTTAAATGCACAGTTCTTTCAGTGGTCTGTGTAAATGTATGAGCTTGTCTACATTTTTATGTATTTCTGTGAGTTAACATGTCTCCTTCATCTAACCATGTGTCCTGGTCTTCCAGTGAAGTTAGTGGTAACTCGGGCGTTGATGATTACTGCAGATATTCTCGCTGGGTTTGGATTCATCACCCTGCTCCTTGGTCTTGACTGCATAAAATTCCTCCCTGATGAGCCATACATCAAAGTCCGCATTTGCTGTGTTGCTGGAACCACGCTGCTAATAGCAGGTATGGGTCTAGACTAGTGATAGAGGTAGAGATACACATCTAAGGTCTTGAGGTGAAGGAGAAGGGCGATGTTCTGAAGCAGTTCATTTTAGAATCCTATGTGACTTGCTTTCCTAAATCAAAGGAAGAAAAAGTACATAATTCTATCTTTTCTTTGTTGTTATTAATATGACAGATCAAGATTTATCAAAGTCCTCAAAATATTTTAACTATCTAAAAACTGTACAATGCTTTAATTTAAAAAAAGTTTTTATTGTGATTATTCCTGAAGTTAAATTCTCAATTAAGAGCCAAGTTTAATTGAGCCCCCTTCCCTATAACACCACCACCAACTCTTTTTAGCAATGAACTAAGTTGTGCCACGTTCTCAGACTTTTCTCATATGCCAACACCTTCAATCATAAAGGACACAATAAACAGATCATATTATTATCTTCACTTAAGAAGGAGATAAATAAATTGAAGACTTCTAATAAATAAATATTAGAAGACTAACAAATTGAACATAACTAATAAACTATAAGTCAAGAAACACTTTACATGGTGTTTTATTAGTGAAACAGCAAAATTGATATTTTACTCAGGTCTTTTAACCAACTTCCTCTGTCCTCAAAGCTTCCACTTCCTCTGTCAGAACATGACACCTTTGAAATTCTTTGAATCTTAATGAACTGGGGTATTTCACTGAAGAAGCCAACAGCAAACACCCTCCAGAGAGAAAACCACCTTCTTTTATGGTAAAAGCAAAAAGTTAGCAAAGCAAATGTAAGGTAGAGCCTGACCAGGCACTCAAGGTGGTGAATGGACAGAGACTGGGGAACTGAAAATACTTGGAGATATACATGTGTGATGTGTGGCTTTAGACCTGTTACTTAGCCTGTCCTCACATTCTAATCTGCAAAACAGCCTGAAGCCCCAGCAATAATATCTACTTCAAATTGCTATTGTGATGGTCCAATGTGAGCAGAATAAGCTCAAAGCAGAGACCCTAAACCATCACAGCATAAAAACCAGGGTCTCCCTCATTATTTCACACACAAACATTGAGTCAATGCCCCGATGATCCTTAGGTTGTGTTAAAAATTCACAAGAATTTAGTTATTCTTTCTTTTTAAAACATGCATTCCCATATCCAGTTTAGTGATGACATAAAGCTTTTATACAGAAGAATGTGTTTTGTTTAACAAATTTAAACATCATTTAACACTTTACAATTTTGTTACAGAATATTTTTTGAGACATCACTAGATACTCCTTTATTTTTGATAAAACAAAAAGTGAGCTAAATTTCAAGAAAACCAAGTCAATAAAGAAAATTCCTGTAGGAAAGTCTGAAGAAAAAAATGTCTAAATTAAGTTGCCAGACATGGTCCAATCGTTGGAACCATCATTCAATATTATCATGCTAATATGTATTAGGGGGCACCCAAAAATCCTGGAATTAACTTCTGGGGGGCATGCCCCTTGTAGTTCAGGTTTCTTCCATGCAGCGAGTGTTCTGGGAACCCATCTGTACCAGTGTACCAGCTGACATTGTTGGGAGAGGCTGCATTTGGTTTCAGTGAATTTCTTTTTTAAAGACTTTCAGTGCATTTGCCCATTTCATGATGGGTGATTTATGAGCAACCACACCAGGGCACTGACTGTTCAGCGGTTTTTGATCAACAAGGGAGGACCCACATGCCCCACCCACCCCATTCACCAGATCTTGCCCCAGGCAACTTTTTTTTTTGTTTCCCCGAATAAAAACAGTCCTCAAAGGGAAATCTTTTGCCAAGGTGGAAGAGGTGAAATAAAAAACATCAAAAGCACTAAAAGGCGTTGAAATCCTTGAGTTCAAAAACTGTTCTGAGCGGCAGAAAAAAAATCTCAATGGAGGTATTGCATTAGATGGAGACTGCTTTGAAGGTGACTAAAGTTTAAACATACAAGAATAAACATACAACTTTCTATAAATAAATTCCTGGTTGTTTTGGCTCCCCACTCACATATTCTGTTTTTAAGGATAAAAAAAGGAATTTTCATTCTAAACCTGTGTATTACCATATTATAGAAGAGGCAGATAATTTATACCCTGTTGTCTAAAGGTTATAGGATCATGATCTGATTCTTCTTAAAAACTTCTTGCACTAAACAATTGGGAGAAGAATGCAATGAAATGGTGATTTAAACAGATATCATAAACTTCCTAGGAAAAAATGTGGAGGTTATTTTGGATACTACAAATTTCAGAAATACCCTCTTCACATAGCCTCTGATTCCTCAACTCCTCATCTCTTTCTGTTCTTGCATCTAGGCCCTGACATGCAATTTATTCCTTAAAACAAGAGGACCTCAGTGGCATCACTTCAAGTCAGTTAATTATTAGGCAGACTAATCTATGGGTATTAAATTTTATTAAAAACAAATAGGAAGGAAAGGGAGGGGGGGGAGGAAATGGGAGGGAGGGGGGGAAGGGGAGGGGGTGGGATGGGAAAAGACAAAACTGTACTTGAAATACTAAATAAATTAGGAATAAATTTTCTTAGTTTATTCTTATGTGTTGGGGTGATGGATAAGGATTTATTTTAAAACAAAGACAATTTTTACTTTATTTACCAGCTTTTAACCCCAACACACTAAAATTAATTACTTTAAAAACATAATTTCCATATGAGAGCTGGTTATGCAGCTGCTATAGCTTCAACCGTGGGTCTGGGTAGTGGAGCGGGGAGAGATAGAATGCTATTAAAGAAGACCTCTACTTTCAATGAAAGTATTAATATAGAAAGGGCACATACTCTTCATTATTTGTCTTGGATTTTATATTCTTCCTATTCTTCATATTTTTATTTTGTTTTTAATATTTGTCTTTCTATAATACTAAAATAGCACTGGAAAGATAGAAAAATTAAAGAAAACCATAGTGACCATTTTAGGTTTACAAAAACAGATGAGAACTGCACTGTTTTACTTTCGTATTTCTGAGATACAATTTGGAAGAAATACCAGATAGAAGGCCAAAGAAGCACATAAAAGAGGTGACCAAAATTCGAGTTGGTGATGAATCCATAATATCATTAACTTCCCTGGAAATGATGCCAGCTGTTTTGAGTTGTAGGATTTAAATTTGGGAAAGACCCCCATTATACTTTTGGATCTTTCCTTTCTTTCAGGTGCCCCAGGAATTATTGGCTCTGTGTGGTACGCTGTTGATGTTTATGTGGAACGTTCTTCTCTGGTTTTGCACAATATATTTCTTGGCATCCAATATAAATTTGGTTGGTCCTGTTGGCTTGGAATGGCTGGGTCTCTGGGTTGCTTTTTGGCTGGGGCTGTCCTCACGTGCTGCTTATACCTCCTCAAAGGTAAGAACAAGTTAAAAGAGCATACTTCCTTGCCTCCGGTACCATATTCCCCAGCTGAATAAAAATGCATCTCCCCTGCCTAAACTAATGTTATTTACTTAATCTCCAACTATTGCCATGAACAATTTCAATTGTTCAAGGACAACTGATTTCTAATACTCAAGTCTGACTACCCAGTTAGTGGCATATTTATCAGAAAAAAACAAAAACAAAGTTACAACTGTGTCTAATATCCAAACATAGAATGCTTACTTTAATGTGTTATAATCTCACATGTCTGATTTCACCCGATCTGTTAAATTTATATCTAGAGTTAAATAGAGAAGTGGACTGAGAAGCAAGCCAAATATTTATTGTTAAAGTGTAATTTGGAACCCTGTCTGGTATAGCTCAGTGGATTGAGCGCGGGCCTGTGAACCAGACAATCGCGGTTCGATTCCCAGTCAGGGCACATACCGGGGTTGCAGGCTGGTTCCCTGCAGGCCAGTTCTCAGCAGGGGACCCATGAAAGGCAACCATACATTGATGTTTCTCTCCCTCTCTCCTTCCTTTCCCCTCTAAAGGTAAATAAATAAAATATTTAAAAAAATGTAATTTGGTTTCTAAAAAATACCATTTAAAAACAAAAAGGATTTCTCTCCTTTTTAGGAAAAAAATAAAGAATACTTGGTTAAATTTTAAATCTAAAAATTACCTTCAGGATAAAAATCTACATTGTAATCTAGAGGTCCTCTTAGATGATGACTTCTTACAATATGTATATTCTTGGTCCTTTAGGGAAGAATATGTAAAATGACATTATTTTATTTCCCAAAGTTTACTCAGCCATAGTTATTTTTATTCTCTACCATTACCTCCCTCAAACAGGTGTGGGACCTGAAAGGAACTATCCATATTCTCTGAGGAAGGCCTACTCGACTGCAGCGGTTTCCATGACCAAGTCATGCGCGGCCCCTCGGACAAAGACGGCCAAAATGTACGCCGTTGACACAAGGGTGTAGAGGGCTGCATATCAGTCTGGGTTTATCTGTTACTGAACTGGTTGATGGATGAGTACAGGTGAATAAAATATTAAGTAAGCCCAGAAAGAGTTATTTAAACTTCATGTTCAACTAAATTGTGTACCTTAATCAAAAAGCTTGTCACTTCTTTCTTTTTTATTATTGTCATATTCTTCCTCATTCTTTCTCAACACATTCTCTTTTTCTCAAACACACACACACACACACACACACACACACACACACACACACACACTTTCCTTGTATTTCGAGATGAGGTTGCAAGGATGTAAAAATGTTTCTTGTTATTTTTATATTGCTGTTAGGGATTATGGCATGGTAATTTTGAAATAAAATGACCCTTTGCAAATAGAAAGCAACCTCCAAAAGAGGCCAGAGATTCTCCTCTTTGAAGGGATTGATGAGCTCTTAGCTCTTTCCCTGGTTTTTGCTTCACTTTTTGTATTTTCAACTGAATGGGTTATTTGATAACTTTGAGGAAGACGATTCTAAATTTAAGCTAGTATACCAGCGCCTACTATCGCTCTCCTTCTGTTACAAGAGAAAAAGGAAAATAGCTTTATGTGCCAGCCACTGGTGGGAGTTAAAGATAAGAAATTTCCCCTTCACACTCCAAATGTAAAAAGCAAGTGTAAATGAATTCTGGAGTCAGTGGGGACTTTGTTCCTCATTAACAATATAAAAGATCTGTATATTGTTGTCATTACTCCCTGTTTGCCTATATTTTGCCAAATTAATAGACTACAGCAGCAATAACTAAGCAAGCAGTTCACTCATTTACAAATTGGACATCTAACTATATTTTATGAATGCATTGTATTAGAATTCACTAACTCAGGTGTTCTCTCACAACTAGATCCTCAATGCCCTAGCAAAATATCTGATATGTGATAAAATATAACAAATATTTGTTGATTGAAAGAAATGAAGCCTTACGACTCTTTACTTAAATAATTTTTCTCATAAAATGTGCTTTTTTGAAAAATATTGAAATTATGTAGACATTTAAAGAAATCAGTGAATGATTGCTAATGAGACTAATCAATATTCATAATGTAATCATCTTGAATTTTTAAATGGTAAACTATTTTAAAAGGTTTTGAAATTTAATCTCAGACTTTCTTATTCCTTGTAATTCACATGAATAGCATTAATCTCCTGGTAGTATCTTAATGAATTTTTGACTGTATTGGAAATTACTATTTTGGGAAATGGAAATTTAGTTGTGAATTTCTAAAGACCCCAAAGAAGTGTTTAAGTTAAAAAAAACACTAAAAATAATTTGGAAATCAGATGATGAAAACCTAGTAAAGTTATTGTTGTTAATGATGTTCATGATTTCAAAAGCCATTTCTTTACCAGTGTTCTCAGGAGTTCTAATCTAATCTTAGAATTCAGAGCAACTGATTCATATTTATTTCATGGGTGTTATTAACTGTGTAATTCACATTGAAAAAATTATTTGTAGATCACATGTCCTAGTTACATAGGTATTATTCTATGCATTTTAAAACTTATTTTGTCTTGATATTTTCCTCAACCTTATTTTTTAAAGTTTATTTTCACTTTTATTTTATGACATATTATGTTATCTTTTTTATATTCCAATATGTCTGTTGAAATTCTTATGAAGAGGAGGAGGGTAAAAATGAATTAAGTAGCTCTTTAAATTTTAAAGTTACACATTTTTTTTTCTAAAAAATTGTAAGAGGAAATATTTCAAAGGATTATGGCAATAATTGACTTCTGTGACAGTTTCAGGTTTTTTTCTCAATAAAAACATTCTGTATATTCTGGGGTAATATTAGTATTTTTCTCTAATTACCTTAAGAATGTTTCTTGCTAATTTATTATAATTTAATAAAGCATCTTGAAATAAAGCATAGCAAAGGATGTATTTTGTATTGCAACCAATGAACAACAAAGCAAATATTAAATCATTGACATGGTGGTAGCTGAACATGCTTAGAAAGAAAAATAAGTCCAAAGTGTACACACACACGATTATTTGGTGGAAACAGTAACATGACCTACTGAATTCTGGGTACTGTCATTTAGTCATGTCTAGGTGATTGCAGTAAAAATAAAAGTAAATTTTGATAATTTTATTTACCTGTGCCTTTATTAACTATTGTCTTCTAATACCACATTTTAAATTAAAACTAGACTTTTATTATTACAAAAGCTGTATGTGTGCATTGTAGATTGTGGGAAAGCACAAAGAACCATAACTATATCTTGTTTAAATGGCAGGGCACCATACTCTCTGTGTAGATCATCATTACTCCTAAACCTTATTGAATACCTGCATTCCTTCCAGACATTATGCATTTATATACATACACACAATGACACATATACATATATATATTTCTTTTTTAGGAGACCATTCTAGATGTGTTGCTTATAATCATATTTTCCCTTTAACTCTCTCTGCCTTTTCTTAGCAATAACCTTATCTAATAACTGATCCATATTTAAATTTCCATAAGTTACTTAAAATTCACTAATACAGCTTACCTGTCCAAACCAGGACCTGCATTTCCTCTGGTTGTTATGCCTCTTAAGTCTCTTCCTTGGAAAAAGAGCCCCATGTTTCTCTTGATTTTAGCCTTGGAGCACCTTCTCCCTTTCCCAATTCTTACCACTAACATTCTTCTTTTCTCCAATAACACATCACTTCTCCAGGGAGCCCTCTGACTTTCACCAGACTGGGTTAGATATTGACACACCTCTAACATCCAAGGGCTTTTCTCTGTAATTGTCCTCATGGCACTTCATGTATGAGTGTAGCATCTTGTTTCATATCTCAATTTCCTATAAAGATTACATGCACTAGTGGGAAACACATTTTCTACTTTATGTACTGATCTATTCCCAACATCTGGCCCAGTGGCTAATGCACAGTAGGCTCTCAGTACATATTTTTGTACAAATGAGTGAATGAATGGCAGTAATACTCTGATCAAGAAAAGCAATGAATTCATTGCATGTAATTTATCTGCTCATGGTATCATCCCTTCCCTTATTTACATGCATACATTTGGGCAGTTTTATTGAAAGGCCAGCTCTGTGTTTTCAAGCAGCCTTGGGGACAAAGACATTTTAAAAAAGTTCAGAGCACAACAAACTAATTGCTACAATGTAGGTTTATAGAAAATGCCATAGAAAAAGCCATATCTATATCTACTGGTGGATCAGGGAAAGCTTCAGAGAGGAGAAAATTTTTTTAGTGGAGTAAATAATGGTGATACAAAAGAAGTTAGGAGAATAAATTCTATGCAAAGAGATCTTGCACAAAGAAAGAGAATCAAGAGAGGACAACTAATGTGCTAAAAATTACAAGTAGCTCCATGTTCCCAGAGCATAACTGAGAGGAAGGAAGTTTTTGTATTCATAAACTACTTTAAATGAGAACCAAGAGAAGGCAGCACTTTCCCTCTTTCCAAGGTAGGAAAGTTGAAGATGCTTGCTAAAAGCCCTCAGTGCCACCATTAGACACACAACCCAAGTCCATGCAGTGCTAGTTTTGTTCTGCCATGTAACCTTGCTAGTTTCCCTCCTGCAGCCAGCCTCTTTGAGGCATCACCTCTGTAGCAAAGTCCTATCAAGCCTGTCTTCACCATCACCAAAATCATTCTGATTCCCAAACTAACCCTCCTACAATATTCTCTTCTTCACACTTTAATCTTCTTTCAATTCCGTTCTTTTGCCTTTTTGGTTTTGGTTCTTTATGGCAACATTCTCATACTGAAGAGAACACTTCCTATATCAATTTAAGGGGCTACACTGGCAATTAGAAAAAAAGCATTCTTGGAGTGGGCTCTGCAGCTTTTGAACTGAAAAATAATTGTTCTCAAGTGAATGACCTTGCCCCCTGATGTGCAGTAGTTAATTGGAATGCAATGTAATGCACACTTTAATATGAATTAACCTGTGTTTTCCATTCACAAAAGCTGGTAATTTGTCATTTAAAATTTTTATTAAAATAAAATTTTATAAAATATAAAAAAGATAAGGAAGAAAACATACAAGCTAAACACATCAGTTATCTCAGCACCCAGAGAATTTCTGAAGTTAGAAGAAATACATGCATGTATAAAATACATTTTATGTATATTTACGTACATTTATCATACACATTTTTGAAAACTTCATAGTACAGAATGGTAAGCATTAAACAATGTCTCTCTTACTCATTTCTATGTTCTCCCACCACTATTCCTCTCTTGAGAAAAGTTTTTGTAGCCTTTTAAACAAAATTATTGAAATACATATATAGAGCCTTTGAAAATGTATACACTGTACTATTATATTATGTTTTTTCTTTAAAAATAAAATCAATAATTAAATATATTTATTGACAATTTCCATGTCATATTATTCTTTTTAATAGCTGCACAGTTCATTGGTCATATGTACCCTTATTTTTCTAATTTGTCCCCTTAAACGTCTCCATTATTTCCACTTTTGCTATTATAGACAACATCGGAATAGATGTTTATTTTTAAAAACATACTTGCCTTTCTATAGAGTTCAAACTATAGAATTATTTTCTAACTGTGTCTTAAAGCAGAAATACTTAATCTGTGTAAATATATATCATTTTGATAGTTACAGAACAGAAAGAATTCATCTACCCAGGGCTAGCAGAGCCAAAGAGTAGATACCAAGAATACAGTGGATAAAGACTGATTATTTTATTATGAATGGAACCACCCAAGAGAATGGGAAGCTAATTTTCAAAACCCCAAACTGCCTATGGTATATGGGTTAGAGATTATATAGAGCAAAATCACAAGACACAGTGTGTTGGGGGTTGTAGGTCCTGCTGAGAGCTGATTGGTCAGAGGTGAGGTAAGGTGAGAGCAATGAATCATTTTTTTAGGTTTTGAAAACAGCTCTGCGGTCTTTCCCAGTCTGTCTGGTTTCATGGGAAAGCAGCCACGGGGTCTGTCCAACTTAGAGCTCAGGAGCTGAACCGTAAAGTCGGGAGCATATGTTTTTGATAGTCTTTCCTATAAACCAGTCTTCAGTCCTTGCTCCGATGTCTGACCCAGGCCTGCAGAACCGAAAGCACCAAGCCACCAACTACCACCAGTCCTATAGGTGACACTGGCACTGAGAAATAACAGGGAGCCAACACAGGGGACTGTGCTATTCACTCTGATTTTATTAATGCAGGTTTACTCAGATTTATTAATGCAGATTTAACCCAAATCTACACTAACCTAATAACAATACCAATCACTCAGAAACAAACAATAATAACACCACAGGAGAAATTTGGGGGCTTACGAACCCAAGTCCCAGAGTCTCATTCTGTGGGTCTGGGAGACAGTAGAGTGAGCAAGAGAGCCATCAGCATCTTTCAAGGAAAGCTCTCTGGAGCCAGGTGGGCAGACAAAGTCCTCAGTCCAGCAGGGCAGAGTCTCTGGTGCCTGATCAAGGGCCATCAGTGTAGCGTGGAACTGCACACTGGTGTGTGGAGCTCAGCTGTCTCGGCAGTGGTCTGGAACCCGCCTCAGTTTTACCCTCGAAAGTGGTGTACTCCACCCTTCTGGGTCTCTTGATAAGTGTCTTGGTTCCCCTGATGGCAAGTGGGGAATTTTCCCAGGAGCCTACCTATGGGTGGTCCGCTCTGCAGCTGTGACTAGTCTGGTCACATGTGCAGGTGTCTTAGGTGTGCCTCTTTGCCAGATGTGTCTGGCACCACTTAGATACTTTCCCTCTTAAACCGAAGTGTCAAGGCTGAGTGGCAGCCACCCTGGTTACCATGAATGACTCCATTTTGTTCTATAAAATTTTTGCTATCTTGATCAGACAAACACCATTTTATTGGTCTGCTCTCCACCTGTAACTTAGGTCAAGATGTTATCTTTAACCTGCCAGAGGTCGAGACCCCGTGACCACTGCTCGGGTCCCGGGGACTGTCTACATTGTTTTCTGCTGCACTGGGGACTGCTGATTATCAGGGGTAAAAGGTTATGTCTCTGAGGATTACATATGTACATATATACATGTATATATCTATATCTATAGATTAAATGTTTGTTGAAAATACATTGGGGGAGGAAAAAACTGGAGTTGAAAAAGAAAATGGAAGTTTAAAAGTAGGGAAGAAGATGCCTTTGTGAAATAGCCATTGTGCAGATAAAGGGAAATAAAGCCAACAAAATCCAGCTATTTCATGGTCTTTCTGAACTTGCTGAAGGAAAGACTGAATATAGGTGAAAAACTGGGGAGAGCTGTTGAAATCATCAAGCTCTTGTTATTTTCTATATTAAGTCTTTGTATGCAAATTATAGCTCAAAGAATTATGGGGGCGAGTTGAGAGGTGCTCTCAAGGAGTTGAGAGTTGCAAGTTATAGTTTTCCTTTTACTAAATTAAAGCAAACATTGTATAATGTCTTTGTGAAGCTATTGAATGGGATGTATTGATCGACTGGAGGGATTCCATTTTATTGAAGAAAAGCTTGAAGTTTAGTAATGAAAAACAAATTAAACTAATGTGGTTAATATAGCAGAAACTGAAGCAGTCAGCAAACCTTGTCGAAAACAGACAAAAATTTTTAAAAAAGAGTAAAATTAAGAAAATGCATTGTTGGAATATCCGGGAACTACAAACACAGAGGTCCCTGAATCTCATGGAGTTAATATTTCAGTAATGGCTGTTCTGAGCATATGCCAGATATGGATGCCTTCTCAAAGAAATCCTCTCCTTATGCTAATAAAATTATGGTAAAAACTGTATTTATAAAGAAAACAACTTTCTAAAGCATTAAACTGTTTACTTCTGGCCCCACACACATACACCGAAAACAGTAAAACAAAAGCCCTGCAGTGACACAGAATCAGCCTTTTCAATGACCAGCTATTGTTATTGAGTGTGTCCCATGGGCAGCTGCCTCTTACTTTTAGCAGCTTATGAAGTCATTCCTTTCAACTACATACACTCCTTTTAAAAAATCCTTATATCTGCAGAAAGACCTTAGCATCCTAGAAATGTTTTGCTGTCTTTAAGAAATTGACATCCCATTCTTTCATCCTACTCTCCTCATCTAGCTTTGGCTTATTTTGTTGGCATTATCACAGGTGACAAGTTCCCTACACAATACCAGGTAAAAATGCAATTGTTCACCAGGCTTTCTTATTTTGTGTCTCTCAATATTCTTCAATAAAAAATATAGCTCCTGCACCTGTAAATCTGGAAGGCAATTAGTCCATGATATCTAAGACTCTAACATTATAACTTTATCCAGATTTAGATATACAAGAGAGAATAATCTGGATTGAAACATGATGTCAGTTTTCATATGTGATGGAAAAATAAAAACTGACTATTAAATATAAAGAGGTGTAATTAAATTAATTACTAGAGAAAGGGAAATTCTTTTAGTTTGCTTATTGCATCCCTTAAATGATTTTCCAAAGGGAAAACTCTCCGCCAATAAGATAATAAAACTAAGAAATCTCTATTCATTGATAATTTCAACCTTCATTCATTGATAATTTCAGTGCTTCTGAGCAATACCATTTTTCAACTTGTTCCTATAAAAATCTGACATCTTGATTGACAAACTTTATTTGCTTCATGAGTCAGACAGTCAGTGAAGACTGGCATGATTTCAGAAGGAAAAATAACTATTTTCTAAAGTCATAAATATAAATAAATGTTGTTTTATCACCAAACTATTCCATTTTATAAACAGATATACTTTTATTTCATTTCCCAGAACTGTATTTAATAAAATAACAAAAACTATACTATTTTCCAGGATTAAATAGAAAAAAATTAAAGAAACCTGTATAGATTTAGTTTGTTTAAAATCACAAAGCAAAATGAATTCAAAGTTAAAAGATTCATTTGGAATGTATATTCTATATTTCTTTTTTTAATTGTTTTTCAAATGTAGTTGTCTCCATTTTCCCCCATCCCCTGCCTCCCTGCCCCACTCACCCCCACCTCTTACCCCTCAATCCTACCCACCACTGGCATTGTCCATGGGTCCTTTATACATGTTTCTTGATGACTTTTCCCCTTCTTTCCCTCATTAGCCCCCTTGCCCCTCCTCTCTGGTTATGTCAGTTTGTTCTTTATTTCCATGTCTCTGGTTATATTTCAGATGCTTTTTTTAAAATTAGATTTCACTTATAGGTGAGATCATATGGTATTTGTCTCTCACCACCTGGTTTATTTCACTTAGCATAATGCTCTCCAGTTCCATCCATGCTGTCATGAAGGGTAGGAGCTCCTTTTTTCTTTCTGCTATATAGTATTCCATTGTGTAAATGTACCACTTTTTTGATCCAGTCATTTACAAATGGGCATTTAGGTTGCTTCCAACACTTGGTATTGTAAATTGTGCTGCTATGAGCATTGGGGTGGATAGGTTTTTTTGGATATTTCAGGGCTCTTAGGGTATAATCCCAGCAGTGGAATTGCTGAGTCAAAAGGCAGTTTCATTTTTAGTATTCTGGGGAAACTCCATACTGTTTTCCACAGTGGCTGCACCAGTCTGCATTCCCACTAAGGTTCCCTTTCCTCCACATACTGTCCAATACTTGTTGTTTGTTGATTTGTTTATGATGGCCATTGTGACTATTGTGAGGTGATATTTCATTGTGGTTTTAATTTGCATCTCTCTGATAGCTAGTGATACTGAGAATCTTTTCATACGTCTCTGGGCCCTCTGTATGTCCTCCTTGGAGAAGTGTCTGTTCAGTCCCTTTTCTCATTTCTTAAGTGGGTTGTTTGTCTTCCTGGAGTGAAGTAGTGTGAGTTCATTACATATTTTGGAGATCAAAATATTTCTTTTTCTTGTTCTGATTTTTAAAACATTCTATGAAAAGTGGGTTCTCATAGTCAGTACATGTTTATTGTCTCATTTCTGTTATACAGTCCTGAAGTATTTCGGGTTTGGCCTTAAATGTAATATTCTGGTTGAGTTTCATTTCATTGTCCACACAAATGCTTTTCAATTCTACCCCAGCTCTATTTCATTTCCATGAAAGATATTGAATTTTAAAATTGTCTTTTGTAAAAGTTGTACCAAAGACAAAGGAAAACAATTGGAGCTACAAAGCTGAAAATTAAAGAGGAACTTGTAGTCAGGTGAAAAAAAATGGCTGGACCTCCAGGGTCAGCGCTGTAAAGGCCACTTGCCGTGTAAGCATTTTACATACACATTACCCTTGTTTCACAGGCCCCTCAGACTCTTGGTCTCATCCGCACAAGGGGGCGTGCACATCAGAGTTCGTAGACAGACTCTGACACAGGCATCTCCCCTGATGTTCAGTTTCATTGTGAGCAATATGAGCTAAAGTCCTAGATTCTTCTCTGCAGATTTGAACCTCATGATTAATATACTTTTCTAGGGTTTATCAAAAATCTGAGATTAATAGTAATCCAGCTTCATGGTTTCATTTAACTACTAAATCAAATCTAGTTAATGGGTTGAAATCACAGATAGGCTTTCATGCCCTCTGCTGGATATTGAAGGAAAAAGCTTACACCTTCAGTAGTAAGAAAACCTCACTAAGTAAATGAATGCTCTTTAATATGGGAAGGAAAAAATCTAATCCTGTCATAGTGAAAATATGAAACACCAGGTTAAATAGAATATTAAAAATGTATTGGTGAACCTTAATTTTAATGCAGGCAAAGATTTCCAGAGATGAAAGGATAGAAAAGGAACACAGATTTATCTTTCTAAATTTCTTTTCAAATGTCATGATAATTTTATAATCTAAATTTGGTTTATTATTATACAGTTCTCAGCAGTTTTCAGTGGATTCTAAAAAGTTCCTGCTATAGAACTTCCAAGTCTCTGGTGGTCAGAGCCAAGTGGTAGAAATGATAGTGTCATTACAATGAATATTTGAGTAAGTTGGAGAAATAAATTCACACCTGTACAGTAATTAACATATAACAGTCATTCAGTAAGTATTACTTAGATAATAAATGAAAATGTCACCTCTGATATTTGATGAGATATTTGTCAGAAAAGTTATTATTAAAACAAACTCTTTTGCTACCAGGCCTACCCACCTGCTTAAACCCTATCACCACCTCTCCTCCTCTACCTGGAAAAATAAACCAGGCAACCAGAGGCCAAGCACATAGTTTAGACTAACTCTCACACATAAATGCAACTCTCCTAAAAATAAGTGCTGATCACTTGAACCTGGAGTTTCACCAACTTATGACAACTACAGCTGCTGAATCCTTAGCCACATTTCCAGAAGTGCTTACACTTTTCTAGGTGTTAATTATAACCATTGACTGAATGTTCTGTAACTGGAACAGATTTTAACACACATCACTTATAGGATATGAACACAAATTCAGAAACATGAATAAAAAAATAAAATCACCTGTAGCCCCACAGTTTAAACATGTTAATGTTTAACATTTTTTCTTATAGTGTGATTTTGTTTGCTTGTAATTGCAAGCCAAAATTTGTAACCTTGCCAAAATTTACTTAACTTTATATTTCTTTTTAATTAAAGTAATGCATACATTTCATTTTAAAAGACAAACAGTGCTATGGGCCTAGGATTAAAAACAACAATGAAAACAGCGTTATCCTGCTCTACCTAATCCCCATAACATTATCTCTATATCTTGTTTCTCGAGGTAATTATGTTCTTTCTTTTTTTTTTAATCCTCAGTAAACATACCTGAGGATATATTTATGTTCTTTCTTTTTTTTTAAGTCCTCAGTAAACGTACCTGAGGATATGTTTATTGATTTTAGAGAGAGAGGGAGAAAAACATCTATGTGAGACAGAAACACTTATTGGTTGCTTCCCTTAAGCACCCTGATGGGGGATCAAACCCACAACCAAGGTCTGTGCCTCGACCAGAGATTGAACTTGCAAGCTTCTGGTGCATGGGACAATACTCCAATCAACTGAGCCGCCTGGCCCAGGCAAGGCAATTATTTTCAATTCTTGAGTGTTTTGCTTCAGGCATTTGTGACCTAATTTCCAAATGATGTACTTTACCATTATTTCTTGATTTAAAAAAAATTTAGATATTATTAATTGACCGCACACAATCTGAAATTAGGATTCAGCTTTCTTATTCTAGTCTACTGTCTTCCTTCACACACACTTCCCCCTCTGCCTAGCTTGTCAATATGAATAGCACTCATTTTAAAACTCAATACTAATTATTTGCATTATTTATAGCTTAAACATTTTTGAGGAATTAATCAGACTTTTTGCTTTTCTCTTTCTGATTCCAGCTGTGCACATGTCTGAATTTCTGCTTGAGTCATAATTAAATTATGATAATTGTTATTGACTCTATACTGTGAACAAGGTCAGATTAAAACAGAGAGTCTGAGGCAGAGAAAGCTGTGATGTGTATTAGAATGGAATCCTAAACATTCTTGAGGCCTCTCTGAGCATTAATTACTGATTATTAATGAAGAAACATTGATTTAGTTATATAGCAAAAAAGTGTAACACAGCAATGATACATTAAATCTACTCATTTACTACTGAAACATGTTCCTGACCAAAATTCCTTCCCTACATTCATTCTTCTTCTATTTGTCCTTTTCCAGGTTATGTTAATTGATCTCTGGAAACTCCTTCAATAAAAACACTGTTCCTAAATTTAATGTGTTGGACTGAAAACATCTCTAATGTTCTCAATTGGTGATCCAGATCTAAAATGGGCTTGATTTCGGCATTTCTTCATATGGAGGAGGGGGTCCTAAATTGTTGAAATACGCAGCAGGGTACAGAGTGGGGATCTGCTCTTGAAGCTGAATTCCAGCAGTTGGATTCACAGCTGCTTCTGTCCCTGGAAAAGAAAGATGGGGATTTATAATCTTTCTACTCAGTATAAAACAGATGTACATGAAGTGCCCAGCAAAATCTGACATTTCTTGAATCACTGGAGCAACAGAAAATTATTTGTGCACTAGAGGAAAAAACTTGCAATCATCTTAGTCACTATAGCAAGAAAATTTGCTCTCAAGAACTGATTACAGTGGCTGCCCCTTATTTGTGGTTTTGCATTCCGAAGTTTCAGTTACTTGAGGTGAATCACGGTCTAAAAATATTAAATAGAAAATTTCAGAAGTAAATCATTCAGAAGTTTTCAATTGCATGCTGTTTTTAGTAATGTGATGAAATCTCAAGCCATCTCGCTCAGGCCTGTGCAGGATGTACACCATCCCTTTGTCCAGCATATTCATGGTATACGCTCTCTGCTCATTAGTCTCTTAGGAGCCAATTGGTTACCTGACTGACAGGTACCAGAGTGCTTCTGTTCAAGTTACCTTTGTTTTACTTAATAATGTCCCCAAAGCCATTCACATAACTTTTATTACATATATTGGTATGATTAATCTATTTTATTATTATTGTTTTTAATCTTACTGTGTCTAATTTATAAATGAAACTTTATCACAGGTATGTATACATAAGGAAAAATATAGTATATACAGTGTATATATATTTGGTACTATCAGCAGCTTCAGACATCCACTGAGAGTCTTAAAATGTATATCTTGCAAGTAAGACGGGACTACTGTATATTGTCACTGACTAACCTATCAAAAAGCATTTACAATTTAGCAGCCCAAACTAAAAGAAACACCATTTTTGATATATCAGAAGACAAAATTCTTGTACACACAGATGTGTACATTTTAGCTAATGCTCCCATTATGGGAAATGTAAATCTCACTTAAATATTAAAATATGACATTAAATATTATATCTGAACTTTATCATTTTATATTTATAACCTGGAATCACAACTAATGAAAGTAATTACTTAGAAGTTATTTATGATCAATAGTAAAAATATTAAGTGGTGGAAAGTTTGCAACTAAAGTATACACACAGAATAAAGAAAAGGCCACCTTAAATTTTAAATCAAAGTTCTTTATTTTTAGATTATGTATACTACAAGCCATTAAATCTAAAAGCCAAGCATTTTCTTGATCAAATTGATCACCTCAAGTGACCATTCACTTACTCCAAAAGCTCTTTTGGAAATTTTCTATTAGTGTTTTCCTGAAAGGCTACTTTGGTGTTGCGGGAAATCAATAGTGATATTTTATAACCATCTCTCTTTATATTTTTTTCCTTTTTTCACATGGGTCTTTACCTGTCTGGGAATGATTTCATTGCTTCTTCCCAAAACAATAGTAACAAGGTCCAAAAAAGAAACTAGGCCCTTGTCCTAAAACATCAAAAATTTTAACAGCTTTTGTACATTAAATTTAACTATCATACCCATTCATCTACACATTGTCTCAGGCTGTGTTTTGGGGTTTTTTGGGGTTTTTTTGCATTAAAATGGCAGAAGCGAGAAGTCCCACAGAGACCATATGGCCTGTGAAGCCAAACATATTTCCTGTCTGGCCCTTAATAGGAAAAGTTTGCTGCTCTCTTCCTTTAGAGGATTAAGATTTGATACCATCAAGTAGATTCCAAAGACCACGCCAGTTATAGAAACAATTTAGGATAACCATGTAGTAGGCAATAGCTGCATCACAGGAACCCACATATAGATTGTTTAGAATTATTACTTTGGAGTGGATAACATTTATTTAGAATCATGGATTTTTATATATTTGTTTTATTTTATATTCACTGGTTTGCACAACTAAGCATAATAACTCAGATATTAATATAATGTGTGAAAGGCAGAGTTATATTGAGAATATATTTTACCTCCTCGTTCAGCACTTTTTAAAAGAAGTTATTTATTAACTTGAATAATCTACTCCTAGGCTATTACATAATCTTTCTGTTTCTGTTTTCTTTCATGTAATAAAAAGATTATGAAAGTATCTACATCTACAAAAGCAGGGCTAAATAATGTACAGTGCTTAAAGCCTGGCATACAATAATTATTAATTAACATTTAAGTATCATTATTATTACTATAAGTATTAGCATTATTAGTACATATAAAGAACTATACTATGCTAGAAATATACATATTTTCTTTTATTTATAATATTATTTCCCAATCTATCCTGTTTTAATAGTCAGTATTTTAATCGTTATCATTATTATTATTATAACAGACATTATTGAGTGAAAAACTTTGTGGCATTAGCATCTCTTGCAGTTAGGAAGTTTAGGATAACATAAGCTAAGTCTGAGGGACTTGATAAAATGAAGTTAACATTCGTGAAGTATGCTTGCCCCAGCACTTCCTTGCCTTGTGGGTATTAGTACTGAGCACTGCCCACTTTCCAGGAGAACTGTTCCTGGAGTGTTCAATACAAAGTCAGTGGTAATTTAGCTCTCGCCTGCCTGGGGTGGTCAACCAGATTGATTCACAGTTAATAGCTCAAATGGTTCCTGCCACTGTCATTACCCATACAGTGGTCCAGGCAACAGGATGTCGACAATTTCCCTCTGTGGTAGGAAAGTTTTATTGTTACCTGCTTACTATAGATTTGGCTATTGCTCTTAAACTTGCTATGCCACAAGACATCCATTTAATAAACAACTGAGACAATGCATTCAGAGAGCTCTTGTAAAATCAAACATATATCAGTTTTCACTTTTTTCATAGTGTTTATGTACAATATCATGTGATTGGAAAAGAAGCAAGTATTATTTTTATTTTTTGACAAATTAAGTATCTGAGAGAAACCAATTAAAAGATCTTGCAAAAATCCTAAGGTTCTGACAGAATGGTTAGTGAAGATATTAGAGTCTGTTTTTTAATTATGTGAAACCAATACACTCATTGCTGAGTTTTTAATAGACAGATTTCAGATTTCCCACACAATTAAGAGTCACTCCAATGAACTTGGCTTATTTTAACATGCCCTTTCTACCTTTTCTCTTCTCCAGTGCATTTTCTTTTATACAGGGAGTAGCTAAAGATGCCTGATTTTGAGTCACAAATCTTTCATCTAGTAACTTAATCTTTAAGTGCCTTTGTTGCAACATCTTTAGAATGTTCAGAATGATAGTGAATCCTTCACTGAGGCAGAAGGAAAAATAAATGAAATTGGAGATGTCAAGTGTTAACACAGAGCATGACACATAGTAAATGTTCAATAAATGTGAGCAGTTACAATCACCATGCTTCACTGTGAAAGTGTCTAAATAAAATACTCTCCTTCCTCACCTAAGAGAATCACAGAATATTTATATGTAAAACATAAAGTATTGGGAAGAGACATTTAAAATGACAGGATCCTGGGTGTGGTGGGGGGAGAAGGGAGTTGAGTGTAAGATCTGCTCTTGCCTCTCTCAGTCCAGCTCTCCTTCCCCTCCCTGACTTGGAGCATTTATATTTAATCACTATGGGAAGACTGGTATTTCTATTTGCCTTAAAATAAGAAAAAGGAAAGATTATCTTTGAAATAGCAGAAGAAATGGGGTCAAGGAGACTGGATAGTTGAAAGGCAACATTATCAGAGAGATGATAATGAGAGATAATGAGAGATCAGCCCTGAGGAGAAGCTAAACCAAAATGAGTGTTCCTAGAGGTATGTCTCAGAGGACTTTTACCTCAAGGTCTACTCGAGAAGTCAGGGGACCTGCTTGCTGCTTTGTTAGGGCTGAGCGGACCCAGCGCTGACACTCATGAAACAGAAAGAAAGGGTTTCAATGTAGATTTTATAGTAATTTAAAAAATTTTTTTTGTTAAAAAATATGGAGAGATAATGGCAGGAATTCCCTTCTTAGGCTCTCATATTCTTTCTTTTCTAATGAACACTAGATTGTTTTCTACCTCGAGCCCTTCATCAAGGCACCCAAACCTTACATTTTTTGTTTTTATTATTTTAAATGTCTTACTTCATAAATAAGGCTGTTTTTATTCAGCTTCACAACCTGATTTTCAATTTTTCAATGAAAACTTATCAGTCACATTTTCAGTAAATTATAAAAATGCTCATTTATATTAAATTTAAGACTCTTTTTAATGGCTCCTTTGTCAATTGTCATTGCTTCTGTTTTCAAACATTAATTTGAAAATTAATCTAATAGGCTCCAAACTTTATGTCTTCTTGTTTCAGTCAGGTGTATTCTCTACCTATTCTTCCTGTTGTCTTACAAAGTGGAGAGCACTGATCACAGACAATAGAGATTTGTGGGGGCAACTTTGCCCACAAGTCCCCCCCATCTGCCACGGATGAAAATAAAACTGCCAAGACATAATCTGCTTGGGGAAGAAAGGTGGCCAATCCTTCAAAGGAGAAGGGCCAAGAGCCCCTTCCTCAAGGGGCTTTTATTGGGTTTGTTTTGCATAAGAATATAGGTAAGGATCAAACAATAGATAGCATTCAAAGAACTATGAGGGCTTATTCTCAGTCAGGGTCAGATAGCTAAGGAGCCATAAAACTTTGAGGAACAAACTTCTTGCTTGAACCCTTATCATTTAAATGAGAGCATTCTAAACAAAGCAGGTTTCACAGGATTTATATGGCACATATTCTTTCTTATGCCTGATCACCCTGGCTCCTGCTCTAGCCTGCAAAGGGCTGCACCACTTTCCCCATCCTAGGTTTTTAGGTTTAAGTGGATTAGAGCCAGGAAGTGCTTCTCCCAGATGGAAATGGGGACTTAGGCTATGTCAGAATAGTCGGGGGGGGGGGGGGGGGGGCAAGGGTCTGTCACTCCCTCTTTGTTTCAGCTCCCTCCCCCGTCCTTCCATGATGGCCTCCCAAGTGATCGTGTCTGGCTTAGGTTGCCCCCTTCTGAGGGGTTGTACCCAACATAGACTACATGACCAAGCATTGGGGGCAGGGAACAAGCTTTATCTCCTTAGTGGCTCACATTCCAGAGGTCGCTCACTCAGCCTTAGCCATGGAGGGCAGTTACAACTCCTGAAACCAGGCAGAGCAGTTTCCAACAAGAGATTTGAGATATAAGTAGTTGTGTGAGAATTTTGATAATTTTTCTCTTCTTCTATCCCTACTTTTACTGAAAAAGTAGACTCATTCCTTTAAAAAAAAATCACCTTCTGGAGCCAAACAGAGAGTGAAAACAGTTCTCACTCTCTATTTACACAGTTGAGGGAAAAAAAAAAACACCTTGGTTTTAAAGCTATGTTTTCTGTTGAATTATTAGAGGGGAGGGATACCAGAAGCTTCATTAGCATAGGTAAAATAATGAAATTTAAAAAAAACAACAACTTTTAAACACTATAATATTTTTACTCCTGACAGAGGTGCTAAAAAAAAAGCAAAAAATACCCGAATTATACTAGAATTGTTAGTCTCTGATGATTGAAAGAGAGCAAGAAGGTTTCAGAGACTGCTTCATGGATTATCCCATTCAAAAAGACATGAGGGCAGTGAAGGGGTCCTTTCTAAGATTTCAGCAGAAACAGGATCAGATGAGCTGGGGATGGAGGAAGGGTAATGCAAGACGGAGAGACTAGCTAAGAGATCCTGGATCTGGGTCCAAGAAGAGAAGTTGGGCCCGAAGCAGAACAAAATGACATGATTTTAGAAATTGTATAAAATAAATGTTCGAATGTCAGTCCTTAAATTAACTTCAACTTTAAACTGCAGGTTCCTTCTCCTCTTAATCTTCATCCTTACTTTCTCCTCCCTTTTACTTTCTTCTGGTCTTTCTCCTCTTCCCCATTCTCTAACAGTACCTCCTTTCTCTTCCTATCTTCCATGGGGTAGCAGAGATAATAATTCTCCCTTTTTGGCTCATAAAGACTTTAATCATAGCATGTTTCTCATCTTGGAAACATAAGTCCCATGAGAGAGGAAGAAAAACTGAGAAATCTGAGCACTGGATCAGCTGAGAACTGTGAAAAGATATGTTTATTGGCCCAAGAGATGCTCCTGGGAGCTAAGTGGTTGGCCAAGATTTCCAAGGACCTTTCTTAGACGAAAGTCTCATCAGATATTCAGATGGGCTAGGCTGGTGAGGCCTTCCTTAAACACCTTTGATGAGGTTTCCAAGCCAAGTGTTTTCTTTTCTCTCTTCAGTAGTTCTATTCAAGACAGTTGGCAACCTGAGTCATGTAATATTATCAGAAATTGGAAGTGAGAGAAAGTTCCTACTATAGGTACTTTAATATTAGTAAATTTCAGTCCACTTCAGCCTTCAACAGTCAGACAAAATTTTTCTGTTGGCTTTTTTTAGTGGAGGTAGATTTCATAGTATCCTGAGAGTCAAACTTCTCAACTACGGGTCAGTAGAGCAGAGCTGTTTCAAATAATGTATTCAAAAATAGTGGTAATAACATGAAAGAAGTTATAAAAAAATAAAATAAAGGTCTAGAAGGAACTCAAGGTTAATATAGCAAATCTAGTCCCTCCATTAAAATGTTTTAAATGACCTATTTACTACAGAGGAGAAAAACCTATCACCCTCTTTGTGTTCAAGGGGTGACAAGGAATCCAGAAACCTATTTCATGTTCTGATATGTTGCCAGTATACTCATGTGAGTTCTCATTTTCCCCCATTTCTGAACAATGTCCTTGAGGGAGACCAGAAGTACACCCCATAATCTGCAGAGTGGGCTCATGAAGCTGACAGTAACCACACTCAATTCACATAGTCCGTGGTGCTTGTGGAGGTGGAGGCTGTGGTTTGGGCCAATCGTTTCCTCTTTATCATAAAAATGTCCTGGTAGTGGTTTTCTCACTTCCCTTTTGGACAGCAGCTTCTTCTATGGAAATACTAGGTAAGAAGAATCATTTTCATAAAGAATTGAAAGAGTAAAAAGGGGAAAGGAAATCCAGTATGGATCTGGGTTTCCAACTAGCTTAAAATAGTGATTCCCTAGAATTTACTTCCAAAAGTTACTAGTTAAGAATAGGTGACTAGAGGATCAGAGATGGACACTTCCTAAATTACTCTCCTATATTTTTTTATGTGAGGAGAAACAAAAATGCCACATCAAAGGCTATACGAATGACTGTTCACTGTGTACACAGCCAACCTGAGCCTTCAGCGGACAGGTGGGAGATGGTCAATGGATGGGATAACCTAACACCTAACCCTGCGTGGGTGAGGGGAAAACATAATGGGAAGGGGCAACTGAACCTGTGACCTCTAAGATGGAAATCAATAGAAGTGAACTTCATAATATAACTTAAGATGGGGGAAAGTTTAAGTGTTCCTTGATCAAAATAAGATACAGAGCTATACCGATGGAATTAAGGAGGAATGGAAGAAATAGGGAAGGCAATGAGGATTCTGGAGAGCAAGGCAATCTCTACCATTAAGAAATCACAATATAGAAATATTTGAAGGCTCAGGATATAAGGTGTGCTCGGTGTAGGCTACTAATCCATGAGTATCCTGCTCAAATTTTCTTTGGCTTTTTACCCTTAATTATGGACAATTTTAAGTCTATTAGTTGACTTAGAGCAAATATCTATGTGGTACATTTACTCTGTAGAGTAGATACCCTCCAAGAGAATAGCCACTTTCCAAACTGGTATTTAAGAACTACATATAATATCTGAGAAGCCTTGGACATAATGCCTAGCACTTGGTAGATAATAAAATAAATTTTAACTATCTATTATTTAAAAAAAAAATTTTTCCTAAGTATTTTCTTTTCCTGTCCATAATGACTGCAGGGTAATATAGAGAATGCGATTCTAATGCCTTGCACTCAGTGCTATTACATGCAGATTTTGAATTACCATATCAGCCTTGACCCCTTCTCTCACACCCATACCTATTTAGGTAAGTTCAGGCAAGTTCAGGTTAATTAAAAAACATGTACATAAACCACCATTCAGGAAATATGAGATCATTAGATAAATGAGGATATAACCATGGCACATAAATTGCCTTAAAATTACAACTATATAAGTGGGTAACTTACTTAAATTTTTTTAAAGTTTTTTTTTAAGATTTCAGGAAGTCTTCTAGGAAGTCTTCCTTAGAATACTAAGAGTAAGGGAAGGGCTAAGAGGATCTAGGAGAATTCTCCTATGTAGAAACTCAAGTAAGTTGAAAGGAACATAATCACACCTGTTTATTTAACACCTCTAGTTAAATGAAGAAAAATAGACCAAAGTAACCATGTTCACCCCTTTAACTCATGTATTTTGTTAAAAGGTCAGTGACCCTATTTTCCTCTGTATTCAGAGGAAAATAATTTTGATTTTAAGAGAACTAATTATTTTCACTGGATATTTTAATTATCTTTCCCAAAACAACCACTCTCAAATTGGCAATATTCCCCTTGGTAAATAATGTCTTTAAAAAAGTCAATAATAAATATAATCACTAAACCTTAGAGTAATGAACTTTGGTATTAAAACATGTTAGTTTATTTTTAATCCCACTTTTTATTTAGCTGTTACTTTTTCCAGGACATGCCCTATATTATCTATTGGAAATCTTATGTGGCCCAAGTTTCTGAAGGGCAGTTGTTTATTAAGCATCTTTGAGGTAACTGTGGTATACAGAGTGCAGTAACCTGGAGGGAATGACTCATAACAGATGTTCCAGATGAGGACAAGGCTTGGAATTAATAACTCTAAGGACTCAGTTTTCTCCATGTCTCACCTCCTAGTACAGACTAGAAAATACTAGGAGAGGCATGATGCAGGGGCATAGTGGGAGCAGGCAGGGTCAGGATGCTGCCAGTGTGTCTGGGGAAAAACATAGATATGTATACCCCTTTGCCTAATTCCAAGTCTTTTAGACTTCGCCTTGTCAGCAGACAATATGGAAAGTGTGGTTCAATATTACTGTAGATGAGGGAGGCAGAGAGCTTCATAAATGATACTATGAACACAGGGTAGTGTAGAATGATATTCAAATCTCAAAAACACTTTTCTGTACCTTCAACCCTCCCATTTACTTGACATGACCAGCCCTGTATATCTCTTCTTTCTGCTTGTTGAATGAGCGAAATGTTTATATTCTATCCATACTCAACTATAAATCATTTTCTCAAGACACAAGTTTTGTTTGTTTGTTTTTTTCCTTTTGTGGTCTCCCTACTTCTGAAGTTTTCGCACTTACACCCTTCCCCAGTTCATGGCTTTACAACTCCAATAAACTATGTCTGGTTGTAAAATCACAAATCTGCTTTTCAGAGATTAGTTTATTTTTTTAAATTTATTGCAAAACTATAAGTTTTCAAACAGCAAGTTCATAAATGGGAGGACAGCTCACCATAAACAGAGTCCAAGTCTCCAACAGCAAAGACAGCCATGGTGCGTCTTGAGGAACCCAGTGGGCATCTCCTCAGCCAGCACGGAAGGCAGAAGAGCAGTACTCCGCAGAGCAGAGCCACCAGGAAAATTAGCAGCAAGAACCTGATGCCAGAAGAATAAGGAGAGGAGTGAGGTGCAGCTTGAAGGGATCTTAAGAGCTCTCATTACTTTCTGAAAAGGGGGCAGGAACCCATAAGACTGATTGAAGCAATCTGGGAGGCTGAATTTGTTAAGCAACACCCACGCCGCCACCACCACCACAACCACCACCACCACCACTTGTATGCTTTCACTGAACCTGGATGTATGCTGAGCTGGGCAATAATTTTACATTCAAAGATTTTCAACTGGGGAGTAACTATTATTCTTAAAGCTAGTAAGTTTACTTAAATAGAAAGCAATGTTTCTACATATTTTGATTCACAGGACTTCTATTATTTTCATAATATGTATGATTTCATGGGCCATACTAGTTATTTAGGAAAAGAAGTGTGTGTGCGCACATGCACACACATATATAACCAAAGGTTTTATAAAGCAAAGTGAAGATGTTCTTACCAGATATACCAGTCACTTGGGTATTGATCTTTATAGCTTATGCACCTGGTAATAAAGAACAGTCAGTGTTGGACCTCTAAATAGCCAAACCTATTCTTTTGGACCACAATACTTGTTCTGATGCCTAATTCCTCAACAATCACTTACTCACTGCAAGTCCCCTGACACTATGAAGCAAATGTTTACTGTATGTCCACTTCATTCAAGGCACTGAGGATACATGTAAATGAAAACTGTAAGATCCTTAAATGGGTAATTGCACAGCAGTAGGTTCGATGCCAGACTTACAAATACTGTTGTGCATGGAGAAGATAGTGACTAACTTTTCAGGGCTAACGTGTCATAGGTATTAGATATTAGGAGATAACCATCCCACCATTCTGTTATCTAGAGATGCAGAATTCTTGAAAATACAAATTCTCCAGGGAAGTTTATAATGTCTATTAACCTTTGATATCTTGGGGAACAGCAGCACTTCAACTCTGGTTGGAAAAAAAAGTTAGGATAAAAGGAAAATGAATGAATGTGTCCATTTCTGCCATTCGCCAAAGTGTTAGAAGTTGATTTCTTCAATCAGGATGGTTAAACCACTTGTGTGCCTCAGCAGAACTTGATGTTTCCAAACATAAGCTTAAAAAGATTACACAGAAATAAAGTTCACAGTGTAATTTTTAGGTGGTTTAACTCCCCAGGTTTAGACACTCATGTACTATTCATTCCAGAGTCCCTTTTCATGTCACACATTCTGCTTTGAAAGTATGTTTGCTGATGGACTTCCTTCATACCTCGGTAGATGGGTTGCTGTTAAAATATCCTGGGATTAAAGAGTGGAAAGCTGTTCATCACAGCCCGATAAGCTTCGGAGATGAAGCTGCACTTAATCATGTCTTCTTCAGCCATGGTTAAAATAACACTCAGTACTTCTTAGCTTGAAAGCATTCATAAATGTCAGCTAACTTATTGCTCTGAGTACCTCTAAGGAGAAAGTGTGTCCCGTTTATCACCCTACTCTTCAGAAATGACACTTTAACATGTGTGAATGTCAACTTAAAAATTTTACCCCAGCCCTAGTTGGTGTGGCTCAGCAGATTGAGCATCAGACTGTGAACCAAAGGTTCGCCAGTTTGATTCCCAGTCAGGGCACGTACTGGGGTTGCAGGCCAGGTCCCCAGTTAGGGGCTGAAGAGGCAACTGCACGTTGATGCTTCTCTCTCTCTTTCTCCCTCTCTTCCCCTTTCTAAAAATGCATAAATAATATCTTTAAAAAATTTACCCCAAATATTTAGACAAAACTCAGTCACCCAGACAAAAGTTTTTCTGGGTGTTTGTTTTTGCACCTAGAGGGTTTAGTCAAAAACACAGGTACAGATGGCTGGAAAAAATGGCAGCTAAAGTATGACTTTAAAAATCATCCTAACATAAGTGATCATCAATAAAGAATTTTAAAAATAATTAATGGCACCCTGGCTGGTGTAGCTCAGTGGATTGGTCGTGGGCCTGTGAAGCAAAGGGTGGCTGGTTTGATTCCCAGTCAGGGCACATGCCTGGGCTGTGGGCCAGGTCCCCAGTAGGGGACACACGAGAGGTAACCATGCATTGATGTTTCTCTCCCACTCTTTCTTCTTCCCTTCCCCTCTCTCTAAAAATAAATAAATAAATTCTTTAAAAATAATTAATGGCATATCTTTTTAAAGAAACTATCTATTTATCAAAAATGTAGATTTATATTTATAGTAAAAGCCTTGATAAGTAAAACAATATAGGGCCTTCATTTTTATGTTGTGTATATTTTAGACAAATACAATGATTTCACTAAATAGGTATTATATAGTTATATATACAGTACATCAAATTACTAACAATGTTTGCTTCTGTTAAAGATAGTTTATGAGGCAATTTATCTTTTCTATATTTCTATATTGTTTAAATGTTTATAATGTACATGTATCACTTGTAGTCATAATATTTCTAAATATTATATTAAAATATGAAAAATCATTAAAATGTTGCATTCTGATTTTGAGATGAATGCAAGAAAATATTCTTCATGTATTAGCCAAATTTTTTAAAAAGCTTCTTGTTTTCTAGTCTTGAAATCTAAGTTCATGACCGGGAGTGTTGATAGCTTCATTTCCCTCCATATATAAATCTCTGCTGTTCTTTACACTTAAAGATAAACCACATACTTATTATAATGTCAATTACAAGTTTAACTACCTTATTTTATTTTCTAGCTTTAAGTTTTGAGCCATTCAATATTTTTCCAGTGCTAACAGTTATGCAAACTGACATATTTCACTTTCTCTTTCTGACACTGCACACCTACTGGTGGATTTTCTGATATGCAGCAAAATAGTCAAGAAGTAGTTAGCTTGAGAAATGCAAAATGTCGTGAAATTTAGGAGTTGCAGGCAGTTTTGGGATAATTTATTTCCCCCTTAAGATTTTACACACTCCACCAGTGAGACCCAGAATGTAGGTGGGGAGGTCACTAGCTGCCCAAAGGACTTGACCTAGAATATGGCTCTTCTGGCCCCGTGGCCTTTCCCTCCCTCCACTTTCTGTGTTTTTCTCAAGTTCAACTTTTACACAGGAATTCTTTGAGTCATTTAAAAAAAGTATTTGAACTGTAACAATATTGTAATTACTCAAACTTTAGATGTAAGATTTTCAGCGTAGAAAAAGTTTCATTTTTTTAAAGATGAAGTCATTGCTCAGAGATTTGTATTGCTCGGTCAAATTGGGATAATGATGCTAATAAGAAAAATGTCATTGAGGGAAAGTGGGAACTGACAACGTGTTTCAGAAATACATTTCCAATATCAGACTTCTCTAGAAGTCGTTGTTGAAGGGGATCTTTTTTGTCCTTACAGGAGTGACTAGTGCCCTAGTCTACTCAAATGTTGTGAAGATGATTTCTTCTCTATGAGATGGTTAGAGGAACTCATCTTTACTACTGTTCTCAGTGCTGAGAATCTGTGGGTCTAAATAAGATGGGCTATTGAAATATAAACTTATTACTTTGATAAATTCAAGAATATATCAAGTCATTAAGCAGCACATGACTGTGAAGGGAACCAAAGTTTTATATTTTGAAATATATATTTTAAGCTATTTATGAGGAAATAAAAGACTCAGAAAGAACCTTTGATCATCTCCATTCCCCTCTAAGAGATTCAGATGGAAAGGTGTGCTTCAGGAAGGGGATCTTAGGATGTTAGCCTTGATATAAAGTAAGTATGATACATAAGAGGGCTTCAGTCAAAGGCTGTTTAGTTAGACTCTGTGTCCCATTTGTTTCTCTGTTGCCTAGTAAATATTTATCTGCATTGTATGTTCCACACTTCCTCAATCACCTGTAAATGGCCCAGTCTCACTTTTGCAATCTAAGATCCAGTCTCCTTCTTTCTCCATTGTCCAAAATGATATATACGTCATCTTGCTCACTGTATTGGGAATTTCTATGCTTATGTGAATTCCCAGTGTGCATGTAAATTTTGATTTTCTCCTGTTAATCTGTCTCTGTTAATTAAATTGTTAACTCAACTAGAAAGACTTAGAAAGTGGGAGAAAACGTATTATATATTTTTAGCCCCCACAAATATATCTTAAATGCACTTTGAAATGTACATATAACACAGTTTTAAATGTCATTAGTTTGCTTCTATTTGAAACTGAATTATCCAGAAAGTTACCTCCCATGACTGATGTGATTTATAGGTATGAATGCAGCCATAGGTGATGTATTGATTCTTTCATGAATGTAAAGAGCCCTCAAAATCTGAACAGGGGAGAACTTGGTGAGCAAAAATACCTAGAAATCAACAAGGCTCCTTACTTATTTAGCAATGTTGATGCTAATAAAAGTGGATTTTCTTTTGCTTTTAGAAAAATTAAGCCACTTGCAAAAGAAAATAGAAAACTATTTTCTTTTTCTTGCAAGGTTGTACTAGCCATTTGAAACTCATCTGGGGTTTCTTAAATAACTTCAGCCTTTTTTAATTCTTTGAATTTTGAAAATGCCTCCTGCTGTTTACTTACATTTCATTTTCTTCACATGGTGGATCCGAGAGCACCAACTGAAACACATGTTTAGAACAATAAAATCCAAATATCTTGTCACTCTAATCCTTTGATACAACAGTACCTAGAGACAATGTGGTTTTATATAATTTCATTGGCTTTTTAAATTAAAAGCTTTGCAGCGTAGTTTATTGCCAGGCATACAGAATTTCTTGGTAGATTTTCTAGCTCAGCAATGGTGGAGACATATATTATAAGTCAGATTTCTATCTTACACACCACTATAGATGGATGTAAAATTGCTTTTTGTGTCTTCAATAGGCAGGTTTTTCTTGCTCTAAAGAGCTTGTGCACCTTGGATTTTCTCTTTGTTTTCATATTTTAGTTAGAGGAAAAAGGTTAAGTATTTATATTACTGTCACACAAAGAAATCAAATTCCTGTTTTCACAGAACTGCATCCCATTAGCATTCATGAGTGTTAAATATATGGCAAGTGGAGTAACTTCCACCTGCTTTAAGGCTCAGATTGATTTAAAGGTACTACATTCCTGCTGAGATTTACATTTCTCTCTTTATCAAAGAGGGAAAAAGTAATAGGTTTTATGGCTTTGTTTTAAAAGACCCAAACCATAAGCAATGCCACATAATCATTATAGTTCCCTGTGTTGAGCCTTATAGTTTACAGTAACTCACTCCACAGTGGAAGGAAAGTCCTGCTTTCTAGAGGTTTTGTTTGTTTTTTCCCTGCAATGAGACTTCTCCTGTGTATAATTAAAAAGTCTTTAAATGTCATTTATATATAGTCCTAAATATGAGTTGATGAGGTTAGTGAAGTATTATTTTCCTGGACTATAACACAGAAATATAAAGCCAAGTAAGTAGTTACAACATTTAAAATTACACATGTGGGAATTTTGTGTGAGATATGACTTCTTCTCTCCTTAATCTCAAATGCATCTTTATCAGCACCTTATAGTTACTCCACCATGTTTATCTGGGCAAAAAGATTTGTGGAGTTGCAGATGGAACCATGCATGAATTGGCCATCAGAGAGCAGGGTAATGAACAATTTATAAATACAGAATGTAAGTTTCACTCTCTTTAGTAGAATGCTGCAAATACATTTGGATACTGAGAGGAAAATGAACATTCAAAGTTTGTCCATCAAGAGAGTTTATGTACAAGTAAATAAAATCATCTGGGATCTAGTTTAACAGATAAACAAATAATGCCAGCATTTCACTTTTGAGTCACTGCCTAATCTTCTGGTGTGCTATACCTTAGTAAAGAGTGAGTACACAATATATCACTATTACTACCTCACGGCCAAGGCCAATGCATTAGCTGTCAGACTTCAGGTTATAAGGAAATGGAGAGTGAAGTCTTCTTGTATTTTCAGACCTGCATCTTTCAAATACATTGCATTTAAGTAATACAGCTACAAAGTTGTAGGTGTTAGTCTCAGTGAGATGCTAGAGCAGAGGACCCGAAATAAACTCTAAGATGGTTCTGTCCATTGTTTAGCAATGGAAAACTGTCAAGTGTGGCTCCAGGCAAGAGTAACGAACGTGTCTCAAATTAAGACATAGCATTTTGCTATGTCAATGGCATTTTTTATTTAAAAACACAGCATAGCAAAGTTAAGCAAAGGTTGCACTGTATCATATAACTTCAAAAGCAACAGAACTGAATAAAGAAGAAATAAGACTAAAATCATGAACCATTTTGTTTTCAGTATCTTCGACCAATAAATATGAGTAGTCATAAGAGTCTAGTAAAACTTTCTGAAAGGAAATCTTTGAAATGTGTGATTGAAGTTACCCAAAGATCAAATTCATAACGAATCGGTTCCATAAAGTACACCTGAAAAACTTTCCCCAGAAAGAGAGATGGTTACCTGGAATAGTGGCAAACACACGCTTCCTGTTTTGGAGATCACTGAAGTGAAACTAAAAGGTCTGGATCTTGACATACTTAAAGGACAAGCTGCTCAAAGATAGTGGTTTGCTCTCTGTGTTTATTTTCCTCTTTCTCAGAACGTGTTAGCTTCTCTATAAATCATGCTCCCTACCAGAGCACTCATTTAATGACGGCTCCTTGTGGCGGGTAAAGTGCATACTGGGGCAGGAATGTTGGGTGTATGCTCACAGGTACTGAGAGTTCAAGGAATTTCAGGTTAAGGTCAGAACCTTTGTACTGTTTGTCAAGCATTTAAAGGCTGATCTGCAACACTAGCTGGCTGCTTAAATAACTTAACAATATTCAAGTGCATGTTCTATTTCAGGGCATTTCTGGGTTTTACATAGAATCTTGTACTTGAACATTTACCTGGTTTTCTTCCCTTTATTGGTCCTCTTTGCCTCTTCTCCTACACATCATTTTCAGTCCCAGATCTAAGCCAAGCCTGGGCGTAAAGTTTTCCATTCTTAATAATGATCGCACTCTACTTTTAAACAGATTATATTTCAATGTTTATTAAAATAAAATAACACAACTGCCAACAAGAATATTTGTCAAAATATCTAAGGAATTCTGAAAAAAAACAACGAGGAGACATGAACTATTCTATATGTTAAGATATTAGAAGAGTAGAAAATTGTATAAAAATTGGTACTAATACACACAAACAATAAGATAAATAAATGTACCAGAATAGAGAGCTCAGAAATAAAACAAACACAAAGATCTATTTTTTCTGCCATTTCAAACCAGCATGGAATAGATATTATTTAGAAAATGACAAGTAAGTGGTTAGGCAAAAAGAATGTAAAAATGCCTAACCATGTTCATAATTGGATAACTACAACTTACAATTATAATCACACTGACAAGTTTAAAAATTCATGATACAGTGGGAGGAGATAGATATGGGAGGCAAACCTTGTCATACATGGTTGGGAAATCAGCATAATTTCTCTGGAAGGCAATTAAGTAATATTTATATACCTAAAAACTCACTAAATCCTTTGGCCATGAATTCGTCTTTCAGGAATGTATCTCACAGATATTACCACACATGGCACAACAAATTACAAGCAATGATGTTCACTGAAGCATTGTTGGTAAAACAAAACATTGGAAAAAGTTAATGTCCATCAAAATGAGACTAGTTAAATACAAACCAATTATATCCACTGAACAGAATACTAGGTAGCTATTTAAAAAGGTGAGGGAAGATCATATTTTTAACATTATGTATGAAAAAGCTTTCATGAGTTATTAATTAAAAATAAATTGTAGAGCATTGTGTTCCATAATCCTGCTAACTTTTGTGAAATGAATAAACAAGTATAGCTATAGTGTTTTACCCCTGTATAAAACTTACATATATAGAGGTCTGTCTGGGAAAAAGTCCAGCCATTATTAACGTAATGAAAAGAGTTTAAGGGAACTTAAGGGGAAAAAGGGGAAGGGATTTTGAGGAACAAGTATGAAAGACACAGAGATGAGGACTGGGGGGGGGATGGGAGGGAGGGGGGAGACCGGGCGGGGGGGTGGGGTGGGATGGGAGAAATAGATTAAAAAAATGTACTTGAAAAGTAACTAAATAAAATTTAATATTAAAAAAAAAGAGTTTGTGTGACATCAATGTAACCTGGCTGCTGAGGAGACTGGACTGGAATGTGCATGTGTGAAAATGACAACTTCACTGTACTAGTCAGTGGCCATGGTATAACCCATTGAATGAGCATGTGTACTGTGTGGTCATCACATTCAAAATGACTGAGTGAATAGAGCAACAATCTGCATCATATTTTGCATTAAACTTGGACTTTGCTCCATGGAAACTATTCAGATGTTGAGTCAAGTGTGACACTAATGCTACAAAGATGGTTGAGAATCCGTTAAAAGTGATCCACATTCTGGAAGGCCTGCCACAAGCAGAACACCTGAGGATGTCAAACTTGTACAGGCTTCAATGAACAAAGATTGGAGAACTGTGTGATGTCCCAAGGTGCCTACTTCCAAAGGGGACTGAGGTGTGATTGTCCTATGTACAATGTTTCTTGTACCTTGTATCTTCTTAAATAAATGAAGATTTTTTTCATAATAAATGGCTAGATACTTTCTGGACAGACCTCGTATACTCATACATGCATAGAATGTCTCTGCTTGAAACTATTAATAGTAATTTTCCCTGTAAAATGAGAGTCTGAGGAAATAAGAGTAGAAGAAAAATTTACTTTTGATTGCTAGTTTCTTATATGTTTGATTCACAATAAATTCTTTATATGTCATTTACTCATTTTACACATACATTTCTATGGGTCACTTCTGAATCCAGATATCTAGAATTCGGAACAAGCAGGTTGTAGTTCAAGCCCCGGAGAGTTCACTGAATCCAATTCGAATGATAATACATGAGTTTATTTATGGTCACACACATAGATTGCACTAAAACAAAGCAGCCGTGTCAGTTGTCTAAACTACTGTTCCAAAATGGTCATTAAGGTACATGGATTAGTTGAGCCGCGTCTGGACCGCTGGCTGAGCAGGCTGTGGTGGCCTTGGCCTGTTTAGTATGCAGCCACAGACACAGCCGTGCATTTCAGAGCAGAGGAAGGCATAGTGCCAATGCCAACGGGAGATAAGAAGACCAAGCCCACGGTATTATTTGTTCCTAAGACAACCTCCATTTTGAGTGTCTCTGAAGCCTGTAATTAAATAGAATGAAAAATAGGCTTTTCACTGGTGAAGTTATTATTTATTAGGTGGTTGTTCAGAAGCCTGACTTCTGTCAGTGGAGTCAATGATTTTAAGAATTGCTAGGAAAGGATGGGGAGGTCAGATGGCTAGGAAAGAATAGAAAGGAAACAAGAGCAGCATGTTTGGCTTAGCTTTGTAAACAGGAGCTATAACCGAGATCCATAGATTAAATAATTCTTACAAAAAAATGATCCCATAGCAGATGGCTGATTGGGAGTATGGCAGCTGATTGAAGGTGGAGTCCATAGTCACAATAACACTGCAAACAGTGCTACTATATTTGGTGTGAAAATAAAAAATATATATATATTTATTACCACCTTTCTTTTCCCTGATTGCTATCTATCTATTTACTTGCGTGGCTTTGTCATTCCACTGCCAAAGGTCAGCATGATAGACTTTGCCTAAGACAGTAGTATCCCTAGTACATTCCTTTCCCATCGTTATAACAGTTTGATAGTCTCAGAAATAGAAGTTTGTCTATGAAAGTCCTTCTACATGCACAGTTTTTTAAACATTTTATTTTTATATACTTTTAGATTCACCTGCAGTTTTAAGAAGTAATATAGAGGTATCATATATTCTTCACCCAATTCTCCCCCATGGTAAGGTCTTAGCTAACTGATGTACAATAATATGGCAACTAGAAATTTCACAGAGGTGCAATCCACTGCCTGCATGAGTTTTGTAACTTGTGTTCTATCATTTAAAATGTGTGTGATTAACCCATTGCATGCCTGTGTATGAACTTAAAGTGGTGAGTTACTATCACTGGGATGTCAACCTGAATATGGATGATGGCTATTCATAACTATATGATTTCATTGGTGATAGTATATGAACCTCTGATGTTTTAATATAAGAGTGGAAAGAAGCAAAACAGTTAGAATCAAGAAGAAGAAAAGAGAGGACATATACTGTGGTGATGCATGAGGTTACAGTCACAAGATGCACTGAGTGGATACTGGACCCTGCAATTCTCATCTTTGTAATAAGAGAATGGTAGATGCATGTTTAATGGTACAATGCTGGTCATTTACTCAGTCTTCTCCTGTTCTAGGAGGAAGTAAATCCTGTAGGAAAGGATGGAGATGAGAGGATATAAAAACTATTTTCTGGATCAGAGCCTGGCAGAAGTCTAAATTTCCTGAAGCTCTAAAGTCATATTGACATTTGTCCTTAAAGGTCTTGGTGTGCAGCTGTTTAAAAAAAAAAACAACCCAAAACCCAAAGACCAAAATTTAAAGGATTGTATAAGAATAAATAGAAGGTATGAAAAGAAGTGAGCAATGCATAAAGAAATGGTCAAAGACCAAGAAAGAAAGAAGCATAAGACACTCTTTTTATGGAAATAAAAGTAGCAAGGTGAGGTTCTAGTGGTCAGAAGCTCTGGGCTGAATTTATCTTCTCCAAAAACTGTTTTTGATATGTTCTACAAAACAAGGATAATAATATTGACTCATCTCCCTCACATAATTTTTGTATAAGATCAACTTGAAAATATCAACACGAAATCAGACAAGGCACAGATAAAGGGATTGATTACTGCAGCATAATAAAACAAAATAAAGAATTCCTAAACCAGTTCAGTTCATGAAAGCTATGGAGTCAGTGTTGCACAAGGAGGACTTTAAGAAAGGCAGCTTGTCTGACTGTTCAGTTTCATCATTTGCTTCATTCCCAGTAGGAAGAAATATTGATTGTATTGCTAAACCAGTGGTCAATTTTCAGTCTTTATCTTACTGGACCTAAGTGGCAGTATTTGACATGAGTATTCATTTCTTCCTCCTTTAAATACTTTGGTCACCTGGCTTCCAGAACAATACATTTCCTGATTTCTCTCCCACTTTATTGACTGTTACTCTTACAATATCCCTCATCTCCCCAGATTTAAAATATTAGGGGTGACCTAAGGCTGAGCCTCAACTTCTTTTTTTTTCTGTATGCATTCACACTTTGGGGAATCTTATTTAGCCTCATAGATTGTCATCTGTAAACTGACAACTCCAAAATCCATATGACCATTCAAGATATCTTTCCTGAGCTTGTTTAACCAACTGCCAATTTCATAGCACCATTTGGATATCTACAAGACTTCTACAAATAAACTTGCCCCAAATCTAGCTTCTGAGATTTGCATCTGCCCTTTACCCATTTAGGCTCACTGATCTTTTCTGTATCAGTGCATCTTTGCTTTTGGTTTTCAGGCCAAAAAGACTTGTAAACATTTTTGAGCTCCTTCTTTCATATACCATTTGCAATCAACCAGCAAATCCTATAGTCTCTACATTTAAGATACACACAAACCACCACCAATTTTTATTACCTTCACCAGAATCTTTTCACCTAAATTACTCACTAGTCACCATCACCTGTCACTTGAATTATTTCAA